CTTCTGGATCAGTCATTCTCAGTGGGAGCAATATTGCCCCCAAGGGGGCAAAAATTGTTTCCTAGGGGACAAAAAAAATCTTACTTTTTATGTATAACACAGATACATAAAATACATAAACAGATATACAGTATTGTCTGTGGTATTAAAATTTCAATGGGGGGGCAAGTAGGTAGATTAGGAAAAAATATCTATAAAGATACCTGAGGGTAGGGGCTGGGGCGGGGGATAGTGAGAAAGAGGCCATTGCTGTATAGTAAATTCCCTTGATACGATGTGTCCATAAAACCATTACTGGAATTTGCATACTTCTGAGGAGCTAGGTGCCAGTAGCTCATCAATCTTCCCTAATACCTTTTTCTTAACCCCGTAGGTATGGCTTCTCTTTTGTCTCCAATGAATGCTATGTTATTTATTTTTATAATCTACCTCAACTTTTGGAGGACCCAACTATGCTATAAAACTCCAAATTTACCAAATATAAGAAAAGTAGAAAGATTAATGAGTCTTTGTGGGGTCTGAATTCCAGAGAGTGCTCTTTAGGCACAGTTTGAATAACATTAGCATTCTTTTTAATTTTCTGGCTTGGCCCCTGTGTCAATTAAAATACGGCTTAACGCCGGGGTGCATCACTTGGCACATTCTGTTCATCATGCATTAAAAAATAGTTGAAATAAGAGCTTCTAAACAAAGTGTGGCCTGTGTTTGTGATTTCCAAAACCACCTTGGGCACAGTATTGAATCCTGTCACCTCGAGAGAAGAAAAGCATTTGAAAGTAGAATTGCTAGCCTTTCTTGCTCTTAATAACGAACTGCAAGGAGAAATTCAGAGTTTGGTTTTGGAATACATAAACTCATGTGTAGTTTGCTATTTAAATTCAGTAGGCAATACCCCCATAGTGCTGATGCCATATGCTAATCTGAATCACAAACCTACATTGGAATTACACGTAGTGGCTATAGAAACATCTGTATAAGAAAATATGAAAGGACAGCACAGTCTCATATAAAAACTATTTGCCAATAAATCTGCTTTTGATGGGCTACTAAAAATGGACGCACCAGACATAAAAAATGTGTGCACCTATTATGTAGGCTAGCTTTGTGAAGGATGGCAAGCTTCCACTGGTACATGAGATAAGAAATGGCATGTTGTTGGCGTCGGCACTCCTGCGAGAAATGAAATGATAATTCTGAGACACACTTATGAGAGTTACCATATATTTGATCAATTTTAAATATATGCAAGACCAGATTTATCTGGCCGCCCCAAACAGAATTGCCGACAATTCTTTAACAATATCTTAAGAAGGCACACTGAATCCAATCACACAGAACCATCATCTGATTGGGTGTTATTTCTAAAGCGAGTAGTTCCAGTGTGTGTGATGAGAAATGGGGGAAGACCACTGTTTGTTATTTTCCTTTTTTTTTTTTTTGCACCAAGACATTTTTTAGCACAAAATTTCAGGGTTTCAAATGATGACTGCAAAGCAGTTACTTAGGTGCATTTATAAACTGTGAGTCAAAGGGCAAAAAACATCTTTCAGCACAAAAAAATTCACTGAATCTCACCATTGGATCCATCTGATAGCTACACATAGGCAAAAGACTTTTTTTTAATTAACCATTTTATGTACAATTTATATACTCTATAAAAAATTGAGAACTCCAATTATAAAAGCTGAAAATTTCATTTTGATTTGGAACTTAGAATATTCTTTTTAAATCTTTTCAACTATTTAGTTCAAGCATATTCTGATTACTGGCATGTTATGGAATTTTTTTTTCCTTTTAATATTTAACAATGCAAAGTCAACAATAGGTACTCAGTGTAGATCTAGTCATTAGCTCAGCTGGGTACCACTGCTTTTCCTCAGTCTCTTGCTGGATTTTCTGCTTTAATGTTCCTCCTTTCAAGCAGAGAGCCCCTGAGGCAGGCCAGACAGCCAATACACTCTCCAGCGCACATCTCTCTGAGAGAGGCCTAGGAATAAAGTAGGAAATCCGAAATGACTCTTCTGCTACCAGAAAACGTACCCAGCATTCTCCAAGTCAAAAAGATTTTCTGGACTATTAGAATAATAAAGGACTGGAAAAGGATAATGAGAGGAACTGTGAGACCCAGCCTGTAGAGATCTTGAAGAAAAGAATAGCTGTTATTTTCTCAGATGAGGCATTCATAGGCTTGACAGTACCCCCAATGGAGGCTGGCCCAAAGGCTCTCTGGAGTTCTTTTCTTCTTCTTATGATCCTATGATTTTTTTTTTTTTTTGCTTTTTTAAAAATTGAAGTATAACTGACATACAACATTGTATTCGCTTCAGGTGTACAACAATGATTCAATATTTGTATATATTGCGAAATGATCACCACTATAAGTCTAGTTAATATCGTCACCATTCTGATGCTGTGATTTTCAGAAGAGAGTGCACTGAGCAGCCAGGACCTATGATTTCTGGCTCTCCATCATGTTTCCTGCTAGAGAGAGCTTGGGTTTTTAGGTTAGTCCATCAGACTCTGCCCAAGTAGGTCACGGAGTCCAGCCTAAGTTCTCAACTCTGGTCTTACTTACTCTGTGAACTAATCTGAGCAAAAGAACTGAAAAGAAGAAAAACGGACAAGGGAAGAGTCAGGCAGAGAATGAGAAAGACAGAGGGGAGAGGAATAGAAAAAGAAGGACAAAGAGATTTAAGTCAAGGGACTACCTCAAAACAGCAGATAAATGTCTTTTTTTCACCATATTAAAGATCTGTCTGCCAAAATGAAAAGGAATAATTAGCAACTAAATTCAAACCCATGTTCTATATCTTTTAAATGTCATATTGCCAAGGTACAAAGCAGCATGTCTGGTTGAAGGTTGCGTGATTCTCTCCATTACTCTATATGAAACAAAGAGTCTGTCGTTTCATTACCCTTAAATTGTCTGGCAGTGGGTAAAGTTAACTTTTATCAGAAGCTGTTCTTTCATATTATACAGTGTAGTGAAGGATATATTAGCTTTGACGTTTTGTTACATCTCAATACACTGTGGAGTGAATTTACTGTGAGACTAATTTAGAAGGGAGCTTTTCATAGGAGGAAATAATGATCAGCATCAGCTGTGCTTCAAATTATAAGCAGGATGAAAGTTCAGGGGGAAAATAGACATACACATAAAATTGCTAGATGTTAATAAGAATGCTTCTTATATTCCTGGTCGTATTCTATGTCTCTTAGAACTCTAGTTTCTTAAAACACTATTCAGAAGGAAGATTTTATTGTTGATGAAATGTTATAATACCTCCCAACATAATTATTTTGTCTTAAAGAAAGAAAAAAAAACTATCAGATTAAACAGTATATAAAAGGTATTTTTCAGGTTCTGCTTTGGGAAAGAAAAAAACCCCTACAATTTAAGCATTTAAAACACAGTTTAAAGATGATTGATTTGACTAATGCACAATAAAGTCATCACAAAGTGAATTCCCCGTACATGAAATTTAATTTCACCTATAGGATTCATCACTCATCACAAAAGTTTTATTATTCTCTGGTATCAGATGCCATTCTCTCACTTTTGGTTCTTTTCTAATAAGATCGTGCTGGTCAGCTGACATTTCAAGGCATCAATTAAACATGTATAATAGGTAAATAAAATCGGTAACAGCTAAATAGAGAGAAACACAAACATATCAGAGTGATAAGTGTAGTACTTTCTCTTCAATTACTTGGAATGTAAATATATCGCAGAGGGATGTTTCAGCTGCTAAACTAATAAAACCCAGTCAGTCAAATAGTAAAAGATATCAGAAGCAGCAACATGAACTATTATAAGACAAGCACCCAATGGAGACACATAAGAGAAAACCTATCAGTTTACTCATTTACTTCCTTATCTGTTCTATAGGTATAGCAGTAGAATATTTTTTTTTCTTTGCATCTGTCTTTGTACCTGAATGAGTTCAATTTCACTAAGATTAGTACAGAAACTTCAGAACAGCCAGTTAATCCATCCTGTCTTCATGGGCAACTGAGTAAATAGACTGATATCAGTGTAAAATTGTAATTCTGGAGATTAATATTGTCTTTCCTGTTTGCGGTGAGCTTGACCTCCTTGCCTTTTTTTTTTTCCTTTTCAGCTTCTGTCCAGGGTCCCTGGGAGAGAGCCATTTCGCCAAACAAAGTGCCCTACTATATCAAGTAAGTTGGAAACATCACATTCTTTAAAGAGCATTTATTGTGGCTAATCTGTATATTCACAAATGAATTTATTTTTAAAATGTGACATTAGCCTGGCCTGCAATACATAGCTCTTTCTCCCCCGAGGAAGCTTGGATAATCACCTCATGCTTAAATTACCACTGAAAATTTGCTGATGCAATAGGGAGCTGCCTTTAGGAAAAATCCATTTAATGCAGCATATATGTTATGTTTTGTGATTGGAGGTGGTGTAGATTTTTCATACTAGAACAAAAAGCTGCAGATAATATTACTGGTAGTGAAAGTGAATATTTACAAGAACAACTTATTATATTGAGGGGTTTCCTCGCATTTTTTATTCAGACAAAGATAAAAGATTTCTGCAGCTATATGTATACAAACTGTTTTAGGTGAATAAATACTTCGTGAACCCAAAAAGCAGTCAGCAGCAGTCCTGGATTTGTGGAGCTGAGGTATTCATTCTCAATATATAGCACTCAGCATTTTTCACATAACAACAGAATGATACTGTTTTCTGGAGCCATTCGTGCCAGTCAAAAGAATACAGGTACTTAGAAGCACCTTCTGCAGGATGTTGCATGAAATACAAATTATGATACATTGGGTCGACATGGAAGAGAGAGAGGAGAGACAATGTTGAGTTATTATTATACTTTAACAGTTTCTCATCAATTATGGGAGTCCAACTTAAATTAAACTTTGAATCACCTACCTCAACAACAATCGAAATTAATCAGATTCATTAAATAGTCTTCAATACCAACTAAAGTCTTCGAACTTGCTTCTGCCACGAGTCTGACTAAAAATTGTTAAATGTTTGTCTATTTTTCCGGCCTGCCATCTTTTATCAAGTCTGTTTTTATTCTTCCGCTACCCATCAATTCTTCATAATTCAGTTCTAAAGCAATAACAGCAGTCCTAGGTCTTCATTACTACGGTTCTCAAGAAATTTGATTTCATGCCTCATTTTTGTTAACTCAGAGGAATAGGGGTGAGGAGACTCTTTTAGCTCTTCAAGGAGAGACACATCCTTTAAAAAAGGTTTGTCATAAATTTTTCCAGACGAGGTATCTCTTAATTTAAAAAAGTCTCCCTTAATATACTTTGATCCTGCTTTTTGATTTTCTTATTTTTAATTTTTATTTTATTTTTGTTATATATTATTAACTTAGTCACTCTATGTATTTTAAATATCCATTTCAAATCACCTGTTTCATTAAATAATATACTGACTTAGACACGCACTGTATTGTTTACATCCTCTCTATATTTTATGGAAGTATTTTATTCGAACTCTCTCCAGTCATCTTCTACATTAATGTCTCCATCGTGACAAATTTTTCTTTCTGATTAAGATGTTCGAGATCAACTACTTCTCAACTCATTTATAAAGCTCTCACTTTATTCAGTCTTTATGAGCTGAAATAAAGACTTTTGAGGTCAAGGTTTTAGGACCACCTGAGAATCCAAGACATCTTTAAGCCATTATTCTCCAAATCATTACTCATTTGAGGTTCATTAATAATGTTCTCCTGGACATTCCTAAGTCCCCTTCCCCTCCCCAGTCCCACTGTCCTTTGCTCAAATCCTTAAATATTTGTCTTGTCCTTTGCTCAAATCCTTAAGTATTTGTCTTCTCCTCCCTGATGTTACACCTACTACGAAAGATCCCAGTACTTTGTTGTGGGGAAGAGAAAATGAATTCGGACCAAAAAGTAAAGAGGATGCCAATTCCAAGAAAGCCGTAATCCCCCATGTAAATTAATCTCTTGCTCTTCCTCGTGGAATCAGAGGGCAGCTACTCTCTACTCGTCCTCCTATTTGTCCAGGGCTCCTTCACCAACTCGAAGATCATGGTAGCGGTATTGGTAAGGGCACAGATCTGGGAATAAGAAAATTTGATTCCTAGTCCTGGCTCTGTTATTAGTTGATCGTATGGCCTCAAGCAAGTCATTTTAACCTATACGAACCTTGGTTTCTCATTGGTAAAATAAAGGAGTTTGACGAGATGAAATCTAAGGTCCTTTTTAGCTGGAAGAATCAATGAGTGTGACTCATTCCACAGTCTTATCCAAATTCAAAAACTTAAGACCTCAGCTTTTTTCAAGAAGTTTACCTTTATTTTTTAAATTCTTTAATTATTAACATAATACAAATTCTTAGTTTAAAAAAAAAAACAGGAATTCTATTTTGCCACTGTTTAATTAGCTTCAGATATGCCCTCTCAACCCTTTTCAGTTTCTTCAGGCACCTATTCAAAGAGCTCAAATCTTGGTGTATAATTTAGGACTATTATTCTTCCTAGTTTAATGCTATGAGACATAAAACAATAGACAGGAAAAATTAAGTAGATAGGTGAATATAGAGACCTTAAAAGCCTCTGAGGTGATCAGTTCCTTGGAATGAGGAATTACATAATTAATCAAAGATATCTCTGAAACTTTATGGAGATTAATTCTGTCTGTAATTATAATCTTTGAAAATAAGGATTATATAATTTCTCAAACATACATCTAAAATATTAAGCTGTAATATACGGAGAACACATGTTCAGAAAATATACATCGAACAGATTATTAATGTCATTGAGATTTATTATTCCATATTACTGTTGTCTAAGATATTCTGTTTATAGCACATTACTTTGATGTACAAGGTTCAGTGGACTTCACGCACTGGCAAATGCCATTCATAATTTGAGATGTCTTGTTGGTCCACAAATAACAATAACGATAAATTTATAATGACATTATTTCAACCAGCCCCCATTTTTCGTCTTATCAGTCTTGCCTTATACTCAAGAATTTTTACCACACATTTCCAGCTGCAAAGCCAGATGTCTTCTCTGGATATATATTTTTTAATGCTTTATAATTTTCTCCTTTTCATTGCTGGGATAAACTGATCAACTAAGTAACAAGAGGTTCCTACACCACTAGCACAGCTCCAGTTAATTTTTGAGTTATGCACTCATCCTTAAGGTTGTAAATCATTAATATCTTCTGCTCTGGATGACAAATCAGGCAGTGTTTATGCCTGCGTTATGACACCAGCTATTCATATGATGCTAAGAACCTTGATTTTGATACTTTAAACTACATGTTTGTCTAGTTTATTAGTTCATAGCATACATCATTGTTACAGTTTCATATTCCCTCTCCCTTGGGGCTCTCCTATTCCTGCCAGCATCTCTTTCAGGTTATTTGATTACAGCTTTCATTGCCACTGAAAAAATAATCACCAACAATGTTCAACCTGTTACAACTGCCTTTTCCACTCTCTGCCATTTTGTAGTTTTTTGGCCTACTGTCAAACTCATGAAAATTTCAATATAATAGCCTTTAACCAGCTGCTGCATATTCTGTTAGGAGTTCTTTCACCTTTTTATGTTGCATATGCCCATATGGGTAAACCAAATGGAACCAAGAGCTAGGACTCTACTGCTTTCTTAATCAGTTCAAAAATTATTCTCCTATATTCTGAACTGTCAAAAGAATTAAGAAATCCTAAACTTGCATGCAGTCTGTTCCTGCATAGATGACATAATAAGAGCATAAGAAATAGCACACTAGGTTAGAGCAACAGGGCAACTAGCCCAGAAAACTCTGTCTCAGATGCAGGCGCCAATGACTGTTTCATCAGTTAACCTAGTAATTTTCATTTTAAAAAAGTAGGATGCCTTATAAACAAGATGGCATTGAGTATATCCAATGGTTTCTTAAACTTTTCCCATTCTCCACTTAGTCCTTGTCTTAGGTATATAAGTTCTATACATTTACTGATTTCTTTATAAATACATGCAGGTATATTTCAGTTCTTCTTCAGTCTACATCCTTTAAACTCAAGGGATGATCCCAATGAAGTGCTATGGAATTCAGGCCGTACACCTGAAACTAATATAGTACTGTGTGCC